AATGAAACTCAAACTTGTTCTGTCTCTTCTCTAAATGAGTCATACGGCATTTAGTAAAGAAAAAACCCCTTCAGTTCAAGATGATTTATGATGTGTATTTAAAGTCTGTTGATGATACCCCTGCATCTCTAAGAGGACGGGGATTTTGTGTTGTTGTTGAAATATCTATGAAGAAAGATCAGGCTCTGGGTTCATGTTTTATTTTTGACGTCCTTTTTAAACAGACATGAATTGAGTGATCGAGAAAATGATAGCCCAGAAAATGAAGATAATTACTGATGTGATTGTTGGATTAAGGAGTTATTTCTGACATTGCTTTGAGAAGCGCCATGTTGTACACTTGGCTGATAAAAGCACCTTTAATTCTGTCAAACAAAGTGAGCAAATGAATATGGATAAAATCAGGTTTAAAACGCAAACAGAGCACTTTGTTGGACCTCAAAATAACCAACGTAAGACTTGAACGTAAAAAAGAAATGCCATGTTTGTTAGGATTCATACACTCTCAGATTTGATGTTACACAAATACTCTTATCGAGTCTTAAGAAGTGCATTAAAACATGGATTACTGAGCAGAGCAGCTAGAAGAAGATAGTATTAGACAAACGTGCAAAACTGTGTCAAATATGTTAAAAGTTTGAGGTACAAATCTTCAAATTTCTTCATCAGGAAAGCAGAAAAAAGCCACTTTTGTTATTCCTCCAGTGTGTCTGATGCTACAAGAGTGAGGTGTCAGTACGTCTCACAATTTCTGGCAATGGTACGATGTAAGTCTATTAAAAGGCAACTAAACTTTGTTGAGTACTGAATACAATGATTTGTAACCTTTTAAACTCGTATATATATGCAGGTTTTAAGGTTTAAAAGAGTCTTAAGAAGTGCAATAAAACATGGATTACTGTGCAAAGAAGCTGGTAGCAGTTAGCATTAGGCAAACGTTCAGGTCTTTGTGATATACGTTGGGAGATAAGGTACAACTTTTTCCTTATATTGAGGCAGAAAAATCCACTTATTGTTTTGTTACTACTTAAGTATTTTTGAGGCTACAAAAGTGAGGTGTCAGAACATCTTTATCTCAAATGTATGGCCCTTAAAATGTCAAAATGAACAACCAAAGTCTGCAGAGTACGGAAAAAAGCCTGTGTTGAAGACAAAGGGAGGTTGAGGCAGACACCTTCAAAATGTCTTTATAAGGACGACAGAAAAAGCATTTTGTTTTGTTACTGCTTCAGTATTTTTGATGCTTCAAAGTGAGGTGTCAATCCGGGGTCACGAAGGTCACGCAGCAGAAGAAACCTCTGACGTACGGAGAGAGAAGTGGCAGAAGAAAAGTGGTATTATTTTTCTTTTTCGATTCTAATAATGTAAAAGAGGACGGCAGGCGGTAAGCAGGCCGACCCGAGCATCGTTTGAGGACGAAGACAAAGATCTATATTAACAAAAACTGCAGATGACAGATGATTAATCGGCATGGTGGGGTCTGCCGTCGCCCGGACCCCCGGCTGACACCCAGAGCCTCCAAACACAAAACCAGAAACCCCCCAGAGCCTCGGCGGCCCGGAGCAGCGTGGGCGAAGGGTGGAAGCAGGGCACGGTGTGTGCGTGTGTGTGTGTGTGTGTGTGTGTGTGTGTGTGTGTGTGTGTGTGTGTGTGTGTGTGTGTGTGTGTGTGTGTGTGTGTGTGTGTGTGTGTGTGAGAGAGAGTGTGGGTGGGTTTGTGTGTGTTTGTTCGACAGATTTTGACAGAGAAATAGTGTTGGTGTTGGTGTGTGTATTTGTAACAGAGAAAAGAAAAACAAGTAAAGTGTGTTTGCATAGATGTGTGTGTGTGTGTTACGGTAAGTCAAAGTGTACATGCTTGTGTGTGTGTGTGTGTGTTCTTGAGAAAGTGAGTGTGCTTTGGTTCTCGGCCTGTTTTTTGCAGTGTTTGTGTGGAGAGAGGAAAAAGAAAGGGTGTGTGCGCTGGTTTGATGGTTTTGACGGGTAAAGTGTGTTTGTGCTGATGTGTGTGAGTTACAGTGAAAATAAGTCAAAGTGTGTATCTTTGTGTGAGGTGTGTGTGTGTGTGTGTCTCTGTTTGTTTGACAGATTTTGACAAAGAAAGTGTGTGTGTGTGTACATTTGTCACAGAGAAAAAACGAGTGAAAGTGTCTATGTCATCGTGTGCATGCATGTGTGTGTAGGAGCGTGTCTGTTTGTGAGAAAGTGTGTGTCTGCTGCTTAAGTGTGTGTATTTGGTTTCTTAGTTTGTTTATTGCATTGTGTGAGTTTGTATTTGTGTGTGTGGGTGGATTTGCAAATGAACTAAAAGTGTGTATGTGTTACAGAGTATTTAGACAAGTGAAAGTGTGTTTTTGTGCGCGTGTGTGTGTGTTGATTGGAAAGTGGGTGTATTTTGTTTCTCATTCTCTTCGTTGCAGAGTGTGTGTGTTCGTGTGTGTGTGTGCGTGCGTGTGTGTGTGTGTGTGCGTGCGTGCGTGTATCGGCCAAACCCCCATCTGCCACAGGGTGGGCGGCTCGCCACACAACGACAATACACACACACATTTTTGTATGTGTGGGCGTTCAAAAGGCATGAGGAGCTGTTCGCTGTTCGCTGTGTGTGTGTGTGTGTGTGTGTGTGTGTGTGTGTGTGTGTGTTTGTCCGTGTGCAGCAGAAGGCTTCGTCTTCATCAAACAGATTTAAATCCGTCCTGTTTACTGTTTAACATCCAAAGGGATCACGATTTGCTTTCTGTTTGAGGTAGAATCTGTAACATTTCCAACACGTGAATTCAAACACAACCTTACTTGTTATTGGTTACGTTAAGGAAAACGTGGTTTTGAGTAAAGTAAGTAGGGTTGTGAGGTGCACAAGTCAAGAATTATACGTGAAAAAGTTGACATTTTGGCTTGATACCAACATGGATGTATAGATAGTAGTTTTTTCATATTGAGGCAAAAAAAGCCACTTATTGTTTTGCTACTACTCTAGTATTTGTGATGCTCCCAAAAGTGATGTGTCAGAACATCATCTCACATTTTTGGCCCTTAAAATGGCAAAATGAACACCCAAAGTCTGCAGAGTACTGAGAACGGCCGGTGTTGAAGACAATGGGAGGATGAGGCAGATACCTTCACATTTCTTTATTAGAAAGACAGAAAAAAGCATTTTGTTTTGTTGCTGCTTCAGTATTTGTGATGCTTCAAAGTGAGGTGTCAATCCGGGGTCACGAAGGTCACACAGCAGAAGAAACCTCTGACATTTTGGCTTAATGGGATACGAACATGGATGTATAGAAAGTATTTTTAGGCCCATTATGTCACAGACTGATAGAGGTTGTAGTACCACCATTTGGCCACTACAACAATGTCTCCTTAGGATCCTGAGCAGTGATCTTCTGGGTCCTGTGTTCGTTTGATCCATCCAACACAACCTCCTCTGTGTGCAGACGCTCTGGCTCTCTGACTAAAGGAGCACCTGCTCTGAGTCTAATATGCTGTTCTTTGTGATTATGATCAATTGCATTGTTGGTAATGTAAGCTGAAGGTTTTAACATAACAATACAAAACAAATGCATTCTCTGATTCTGCTGCATTCATTTTGATCATGAGTAGAATACAACACCCTATATAGGATTGCAATAAGATGTGTTTGCTCCAGGTTTTGATGAACGCTTTGAAAAAAAGTTCACACATGGGGACACAGAGAGACGTCCTCATTAAAGGGCGATGCACCTTTTTGGGCCACTCTGGGCACTCGTATACGAACAAACGGACAAGGTGAAAGTGGTCCCTGTTGTGGATAATTGAATGCAGGTCTATTAGCACTGTTACAGTTTGAAATAGCTGCTGACCAAAGTCTGGACAGGTTTTCTTTTTGCAGTGTTCTACAAAAACTGCTGATCCAAAAATCCAACATCAAGAATGAAGTAGAACGATCCAAGGTTGGTGAAAATATCACAAACAAGACATCCGTCATTGGATGTGATATAATAATGACTCAAGATCAACTACAATATACTTGTTATGACGGGAAGACGCATGGAAATAAAATGTTTGAACCATGGCCATTCAAGGTTTCCGTACCTGCCACAATAACAAAGTCTTATATGATTTTAGAAAATATAAGGCTTTGAATTCACATGCACAATAGCTACAGTGCTGTGGACCATGACAATCTTAACTTCCAGGCTTCTGTAACAATGCAAAAAATAAACTAAGACATAGAAAGACATCAAATGGCAATAGTGGTGCAAGTAAAATGCAAGAATAACTCATATTACATGTAAAGTCAGTAACTAACTTACATCTTCATATCAACTTATCTAAACTGCAAATCCATTTTTGAACAGGAGGCAACATTGAGACCAACCAAATCTGTAATAAAGTAATAAATTAAATCAGATGCTTATTCCCTCACTAATCACCTCATCTATCTCAGGGGCCAACAAAAGGCAGCCTCAGTAATCTGCTCCTGACAGAGGAAACAAATGTGTGTGTGCAGGCAGTGTGTGGGCTCAGCTGGCACCAACACAAAACAATGCAACTCGATTTTACCCGGATACCAGCCATATAGAGCGGGCCAGATCCTCTCACCTCCCCGCCCGGAGCATCCATGTATGGAGACACTGGGACCGGAATTCCGAGTGATGGAGATCCTAGTTCCTCTCGCTTTACATTAAGCCTGCGAAAAACAAGAAACACGTGATAAATGTTCGATAAAAATCCCCCTAAATTCAGATTTTCTGCATGTTTTGTGTCTATTTCAATACACTCCTACATGTTATTTTGTTTCGTCGTCACGGTGAGCTCCACCAGTCCTATTTCTGGAGTTCCCTCTTTTTTTTTTCAAAACCCAAGTCCATATTTGGTGAATGACGTACCGGGACACCCAGAGATCCCCTTTATAACCAAACATGCATCATCCCGGAGATGTTTTATACCAGAGATGAGAAGCAAAATGTTGCAGGAGGCAGAGCATTGGATTTGAATATTAGTTTGACTCGCCTGATCTACATAATGGCTGCTAGAATAGCGGAGGAAATGTCCGTGTCTTTGAGCAGTTTTGTGGATAACATTAATCTCAAAGATGTTTACACTGCGGAGGGGTCGATGGAGTTTAAAGAGGAGGCTGTAGGGGAGGAAGAGGAGGAGGGGGGAAAGCGGTAAGGATTTGAGTTTGGATACAACATAATAACTCTGATTGCACCGACAATGTAAAGAAAACCAACTGGCTAAACCTTAATTACATTTGAAAACAAATCACGTTTTCTTGAATGCTTGACAAATTGTGATTGCTTTATCACATTGTGTTTGGCTTATTGATTGATGACATTTTGTTTCGATTCCGTAATTAGGACATGCGTTTTTTGCACCACAAACTGTTCTTACTTCACTGCATAATAACAGCTCATGTCTGGATGCATGTTTGTTGCTTTTGTTGATGCATGGACATGTTGTGATTTGTATTGTTATTACATCGACCTGATACTTCTCCTTGCCCAGGTCACTATTGGAAAATAAATGTAATCTCTAAGCTGTTTAACTTTTTAAAAAACACGTCGATATGGGGGTGTTTTGTTTGTTAAGTATGCTTGGCTGTAGGTTGGGGTTTACCTAACAAGAATAGCCTGTGCTTAGTGCTATTGGGGATCCTGAACAAGATAAATTAACTCATAAGAAGTGTTGCGCGTAAAATGAACATTGTGCAATGATCTTAAAATATGATCATGTTTCTAGTTTTTTTTCTAACCGGTGGTGTTTTGCTCCATTTTGCAGGTGATCTCCTGTTTGAGGGGAAGAGCACACCGGAGCTGTCTCTGCACGGAGACTTGTCACACTACGTGGCAACTTTACGCACGCACCCCGTGGCGTTGACCGGCAAGTTCTCGGTGGAGTCTCGAGGCTCTGGAGGCCCGTGGACACCGGGGGGCGTCATCAACGTGATCAGCGCTGACATCGCTGCCCCGGGGCCGAATACGTGCTCAGAATCGCCAGATATTTACGCAGCGGTGGACGACACCATGGCGCACGGCCAGCCGGACATCAGCCACATGTACGCGCCCCCTCACCACCACCCCCACCCCCACGCGGGCCCTTCCTACTCCTGCAGCGGGGACATGTACCAGGAGCAGCCGGCAGGGGGCTACTTGGCCACATCCACCTGCTCCTTGTCTTACCTCCCGCCCCAAAACTACAGCTCCGTGCCTAAACCGAGTGTGGATGGAACCCTGCTCTCCATCATGCCGGACTACGGAGGCTTCTACCCGCAGAGCTGCCAGAGAGACCTCCAGGCGGCTTTCTCTGAAAGGAAATCCCTCCCTTACCCTCTGGACTCCCTCAGGGTGCCTCCCCCTCTCACTCCCCTCAACACCATCAGGAACTTTACGCTCGGCGCGCCCTCTGTGGCCGCAGATGGCCCCATGGCTGCTGCCTTTCCAAACCACCAGAGCCTCCCTCTCAGACCCATATTGAGACCCAGGAAGTACCCGAACAGACCGAGTAAAACACCCGTGCACCAGAGGCCGTACCCGTGCCCGGCGGAGAGCTGCGACCGCCGGTTCTCCAGGTCTGACGAGCTGAGCCGGCACCTGCGCATCCACACCGGCCACAAGCCCTTCCAGTGCCGCATCTGCATGAGGAACTTCAGCCGCAGCGACCACCTGACCACACACATCCGCACACACACCGGGGAGAAGCCGTTCTCCTGCGACCAGTGCGGGAGGAAGTTCGCCCGCAGCGACGAGAGGCGGAGGCACATGAAGATCCACCTGCGGCAGAGGGAGAAAAAGTCCTCCGCGGCCTGATCCTCGCTGCGCATGCGCAAAGCTGCTGAATGTAAACTTTCTGCTCCTGCTGACACTGTGTGCAAAAAGAGCCCAAATCCTATTTTGTAGACTAAGTTGTTGTTCTCAGAAAAAAGATGGAAGGAATATCTTTGGAAGCCATATCTTTAACAAACATAAGAATCAGGGAGAACCAGAGTTCACTATGATGTGCTTGGTCATGCCTTCAGTATTTATATAAAACATAACTCCTCACTTATCACTCAGTGGTCCAAATTATACACAGAAATGCCCATAAAAACGAAGCTGGTTATTGTAGCGTTGCTTATCTCCTCGATTAATCGTTTGGTCTATACAATCTCAGAAAGTAATGAAAAATACCATTTATCAATTATCAAAAGCTGATTATTTATTTTATATTTCTTCTTAATTGTAAGACATATATATGGAGTTTGGCTTGCTTTAGTGCTCTGTTGCAAGGCATTGCGTCTACTACTGTATCTGCTTCATGTTCTCAGGGATTACATTACAATTCAGGCTGCAAACACAGACTGAAATCCTGCGAGTCAGCTGTCAGTTTACTGCTGCAGGTGGTTTGGTTTCTGTAAAATGCACAAAATAGTTCATTTCCGAAATATACACAAAGATTTTTGGACAGTCACTCAAAGGACATACACATTCCACATGTTCCAAGTTATTTAGGATAATCCCATCTCAGCTGTTGTATAGCAGCTAAATAATGAATATCTTAAAAGACATCTTGCAGGGTTTATATGAGATAAATACAAACAGATGATATTTGGTATTGTTGTGATGACACTAAATATGTCTTATGATGCTTATTTATCAAAAAAAAAAATGCATTCCTTATTGTAAGTATCGTTTTGGAAGCTTTGATATTGACATAAATCTGATGGCAAACACAAATTACATTCGCTATTTTATTAAAGAACTCTGTGAATTTTTCAATGGCGGGATGCAGCAAAATGAAGCTTTTTTTTAACCTGTTTTTGTAGATTAAAAATGTTAAAAATAATGATGTTTTATTCACCTGATGAAGAGTTGACTTTGGTGAATTACATGCAGCGGATGTTGGGATTTTGAGAGATTGTAGCCGGATAATCAGATGTATTTCTGGTTATATTTTATATTTGTGGATGCGTTCAGTATGCACAGACCTGGGATACTTGTGAAGATTCAAACAGCATTTCTACCTGATGAATGTGAGAGGAAGAAGAAAGAGAGTTACTGGACAAATAAAAGTTGTTGTGTTTTATATTTGATATGCAAACAAGTCGAGCACTAAAGCTTTTATTCTGCTGGACCGATGCTTCTTGTCAATGCAAATAAATGTGGACTTGTTGAGTTGAGGCTCTTTATTTTGTGTTATATATATGACGCTTTTTTTTAAATATTTGTTTTTTCACAGCAGATTGTCTTTGGACCCAAATTTCCATTTTGATTAAATCTTTAAACTCTAATCAAACATGTTTAAAACTCCTGCTGAAGAAGATCATGTCATACAACCAAAAGCTGCAGAAAAGTTACTATTTAGACCTGGGGTGTCAAACTCAAATACACAGTGGGCCAACATAAAAAAATGGGTACTAGTCGAGGGCCGGACTGGTTCAATGTTTATTGCAAAACGTATTGAAATGAACTTATTGCACATATTAAACCTGGAACTAACAAAGCTTAAATGATTGCCTATAAAAACAACATTAAACATTAAATAATCAGTTGCATTCATTTCTTATGGCTCTATCTGCAGCTTTTCCGGAGTCATTTCTTATGATTACATTTCTCCACAGGCCAACAACAGCTTCAAAAAAACAATTTCCCTCAAAGAATAAACCAAACATGCCCTGTTGTCTCAAGAAAGAAAGTGCAGAAGGAAACATCCATGTAAACTCAGTGTGCTGCTCTGTGATGCTAGTTCAAGCCAGATACTTGGCATCTCATCTTGGGTGCAAGTTCATCAATGTTTGGGCTCAGGCTCTGAGCTGAGGAGACCCTCAGGATGGAGTGAAGGTGTGCGTGCAATATACCGGCGGGCCAGATCTAATAGTAATTAGAAATTATCCTGCGGGCCGAAATTAAATCCACCAAGGGCCTGATTTGGCCCCCGGGCCTTGAGTTTGACACATGTGATTTAGACCATCAAATGTAGATTTTCTTGTCAGTAATAAAATGTAAACTCAATGCTTTGTGTTGTTTGCAGAAAGAACTGATTCATGTATACAAGTTCATTATTAAAAAGACACCGTCAAGATTATGATTAATTTGACCAAGGGATCAATAAAGTTGTATGTTAGCCTTTAATAACCAGATGAATGATTTAGTGATTATATGTCATATATCTAATCTGTATTTCAAAGAAACTAAAGTTATTAAATAAAGGTAATTACTAAAGCTCAAATTGGATACAAATACTTTCAAATTGCACTTAAAGGTAGGGTAGGTAAGTTTGAGAAACCAGCTCGAGATCGCTAGAATTTGAAAATACACAACCGGAGAAAATCTGCCACTTCCTTACAGAGCCCCTCCTCCAACACACACGAACGCGCACATGACCAATGAGGGCACGAGATAAGTTTGTGCACAGATGGAAGGCTGACAGGCAGGTAGGCCATCCAGTTATTTTAGCCGGGCCGGCTCAGATGATTTGTTGTGCTTTTCACAGTACCACGGCTTCCAGAGATGACATTTCTTTATGGATTTTTTGTCAAAGCACTTAAGATATTCATTGCTATCGGGATGTTAAGAGCATTCCATGGAATATAACAAAAAGTGTATCTCGAGCCGGTTTCTCAAACGTACCTACCCTACCTTTAAGGTAATGTACTTTCCATGTGTACATGCTTGTGCTAGGGCTGAACGATTAATCGATTTTAAATCGAAATGGCGATTTTAAACGATGCAATTATCAAATCGCAAAGCCTGTGATTTTCTTTAAAACTTTTGTTTTGTTTTGGTTCTTCTTGTGTGTCAGTCATCCACACCAATCAGAAGTGCTGTGCTCCACATGTACCAGCCATTGTTAACCAATCAGAAGTGGCCCATGATAGTAGGTGATAGACAGATTGATCCAATCACCTGCCAAGTATTTTTGAAAGTGCCTGCCCTTTTCCAAATGGCTTCCAATGGAGCTTTCCTCGATGGTTTGGTGAAACAAAGCATCTGAGTCAGGTTGGTAATGCTCCATCACATGTTTTACATCTATTACAGGGTGAATCTTAAACTGAAGCTTGACTTTAAAGCAACCCAACGGAAGTTTCATGTAAGTTTAGTTCTTTCACTTGTAGCTCGGGCTGCAGGAGTGCTAGAGACGGGAGCACGTTGATACGACCTTCCTAGCCGGAGATATGGCCGCATTTTACAATAAACTTCCGTTGGGTCGCTTAAAAACAAATATCGCAAATCGCAATATCTGTCAGAAAAATCGCAATTAGATTATTTCCCCAAATCGTGCAGCCCTAATTTGTGCAGAAGATACTTACTGTATCATAATACATTTGACTAAAATAGTGTCAGTAAACACTTGAAATATTGATTTACAACTAAATAAACACAAACATTGCATTCAAGTCTTTTAAAGAATGAACCATGAAGACACAGAAACTGGCCTTTCATTCAAACAGAGCTTTCTTCTAAAGGAAATATGACATTTTATTGAAAGTAAAAACAATTTAAGCTGATTAAGAAGATTTTCACGTGCCATGTTTGAGAGAAATGTCCCCGAAGATCTACTCCAAAACCTGTTTGCACAAAAATGGGAAACAAGTTGCTTTCTGAACACTTTAGTTCTTCTAATCACATTCTGAAGCAAATAAATCAGACATGTTTAGGCAAAATAAACAGCATATTTTATATGAATGAACAGAAAACTTTAATTACAGGCAAAATATATCGAATACGGCATTAAACATGATCAGATTTGAGACTTTAACAGACTTTCTGCTCATTATTAGACCTGTTTATCTTTCAGTCATGTGATACAACACATCAGTCTTGTCCTCTGAGATCAAATCACAAGTTTGCAGCACGTTCTGAGAGGTTTAGTGCTTTTCTCTCACTATAGCTTCAGGTTAAGCATTATTTTAAATTGTACATCTTTGAATAAACAATGGACCATGTTGTTACTTAAGTTTTATTTATTTTTATCCTAAGCTAGCACTTCATATTTTATAAGAAACCCAAACTCACAAATTCGCCTTGCCCCTCTGATTTCCTTCAAGCTGGAATTCAAACCCTTTTTTTATTTACCTTATTTGACATTCGAGACAAATATTGAAAACCTTTCCTTCCATATGTGGTAAAAGAGGGACACTTCATTTAGTGCACATCTTGCAAACAAACAATGTCAGCCAGTGAAACAAATCACAAACACTCCTGAGGATCAAACCTTTCCCAGAAAAAAAAAGAAGAGAAATGTCTGTAGTTTTTAAAGTCCTAAACACAAGAATAAACCCTAGAGTTTGAGACATTTTTCATTCTTCAAAAAGCAGAACAAAACGCCACAAATCCAGAAGCAGGAAGAATGATAAAACACAAACATGTTTCTGACGTTCGGGGACATTTCCTCAGAGGATTCTCAGCTCAGGTTGTTTTGAATGCTGCATTCAAGTGCAGCCAGAAGTCTGGATCAAGTATATTATTCATAATCAGTTCTGCAGCGTGAACACATGCAACTCACAGCAACTGTTTGTATAACTGCACATGCATTACTGAAAGCTGACATGTTGTGTTCTTAAAAAGATACGCTTCAGATTCAGAAGTCAGAAGCAAACTCAGCCTTTCTGATTATTCTTGAACGCAGCATTAGCACCCTGCATCAATCTCATCATTTCTTGGCATCTCTTTTGCAAAAAAATACCTTACAGGGTCTTATTTTAAGCTCATTTACAGCTCCAATTTTGGTGCTTTTCAGATTTCAAACCAGTCACCTGATTGATGATATGCTTTTACAGTGGATTACACAATGACACCTCCTTTAATTAAACCGAACCCACCAAATAAAGGCAGAAATGCATGAGATGAAACATTTAAAGTGTTCAGTGGCAAAGCAGAAATCCTGCTGATATCACCAGTACACTGAAATGTCTTCTCCAACGTGACATATTTGATACTACAAAACGGAAGGACCAATGCTTGACACTCAAATCAGATTTCATGTCTTTCTGAATGATCTGAAATTTGTTCGAAGTGAAACACTGTAAAATAACTCATTCAGCTGATTTGACCCTTAATAGAGATTGAGAAATGTTGGGATCTCAGTACAAACTTGCCTTGGGACTCCAATATATTTTTGTTCAAGTGAAATGTAAACTTGAGTTATATATATATCACTTGTTTGGCAGCGATGTGAGCAAAACATAACAAGGATTTCACCTTATTGTTTGCTGCAGTGCTGATTATTTCACTATTAGGTGTTTGCTCTAAGTGCCCAGAGAAGTGTCCATCCCAGATTTCTTAAAGTCCAAAGTGTCTTGAAATGTCTGGTCCAAAACCAACAGATATCCACTATAGGATTATATTATTTGAGGGTCATGAAACAGCATTTTCTGACACATTTGCATGAAAAATGACTTTTAATCGACTATTAAATTAGCTGGTGATTAGTCGACCAACAGTTGCAGGACCATCACATCTGCACAGCTAAATTCAGACCCTCTTTATGCATGTGATGGCTTCAGTAATGATTTACAGTGACCCTTCATTTATAGCCCATTGTCCAAAAATAAATTCCCGGCCTTGTGCCAAGTGCAGCCCGAGAAAAGGAGACGTTTTACGGCAGGCTCAAAGGCAAACCTCCGGGCCTGGATACGGCTCCCCTCCGCACCAGAAATCCGGAGGCTGTGAGATCTCCATGAGCCAAACCTCCTTGTCCTTTTCTGATGTGTTTACCTCCCCTTCTGCAAGAACCTTATAATAATGACAGTCCCTATCCTCGTCCGGGTCGTACGGAGGGGCCAGGATGTCCATGAACGCAGTGGGTCCGTCCACAGCGTCGATCTGGTGCAGGTTGTCCCGGTCCGGAGAGAGCACGCATGGCTCACTTTCCTCCGTGAATTCAGCGGTGGATCGGAGCAGGGAACGCCGCAGAGAGCCCACCTGATGCGGGGTTGCAGGAGGGGGCGCGTCGGTCTGCTCCAACCTGTCAAAACAACTGATTCTGACCTTTCCATACATGACTTTCAGCATGCCGTGCATCCCCGGGTGGTCGTGCAGAGGTATGGAAGCTCCATTTTTCAGCAGAAACACCCCCATGCTGAACTGGTCAGTCTCGCAGATGTGCATGTAGGTGACCGGGGGGTCGTGGTACGGAAGCCCCGAGGGAATGTCGTCGGATCTCCGCGGGACGAGCTGCAGATCCGAGGCTCGTATTTCCGTCATCAGGCTCCTTAGTTTGTTCTGGTTCTCCAGGAAGGATTTAGCGGGCTCGTCTCCAAACCGAGGCGGGCTTCGGAAGGTAATGAGAGCTTGCCGGGCGATTCTCTGCACGATGGAGGCCATGCTGCTGTCGCCGGGCATCATACCGGAGAGAGGGACGTGTTGCCCGGTCGGTGTGGTCCGCCTGTCGGTCCTTAGCTTTAGCAATTTAGCTAAGCGTCAAAGATCGTTTTGATAGAAGATGACTCACTCCTGATTCATTCTTCTTCGGACCTTCAGAATCAGAATCAGCAACAGGTTTATTGACAAGTAGGTTTACACATAGGCTACGAGGAATTGCCTTGGTGTACATGGTGCATACATAAACATAGTTAAAGGAGATACATTGTAAGAAAAACGAGCAGAAAATAAAACTATTATAAAAAACTATTACAAAAAACATTTGAATATGAACTCGAAAACTGTAAAAGTACTGCTATTTATTAAAAATGCATGTACAGTTTCAAGTAACTGTCACCAAATAGTCATAGAAGAATCACAGTTATGTAAAATCAGTGATAATCTATATACACAATTTTTTTGTCAAGAAGAGTGAAATAACAGTGGAGTGAGACCTCACCTCATTTACAGATTCTTCGGTCAGCTAGGTTCGTTGCCCGCTTTTAAACTGCCTGCTTTCTGCTCCTTCACGTGTTCATTCATTTGTTTTTTTCCGCTTATTAACACGTTGGAAAAACAAAAAAACAATATAGTATTATATGCATTTGCAGGGGTCACTTTCAGACCGGATTTGACTCAGAAGCAGCCAGTCTTATAGACTTCGGGCCCCATTTTTGAATAACTGTCAAACACGTCCGCCCCAGCACCAGACAACACTTTGCCAGTTTACACCTGGTGCATTGTGGGACATGTAGTCAGTAGACCGCCGTTACTGTGGTTACTGAGACGAAAACTGTTTTATTCAAATATTAACTACTTAGAGTTGATATTTTCGTCACATTGTTTCCTATAAGCAAGGATGGTGTCAATATGAATGAATGAAATGACTCTGACTACATCTAACTGCCAAGACAATGCACTACAATACCCAAAAGGCCATAGAATATTTAACTTTTAATGATCTTTGCCCTCAGGCCTTACTCAATTATAGTCAACATGATTTGTTTGAACTGCACTGATAATGATATTTAATTTATTTAACGTCTTGCCCTCTCATAGCCTATTTCTCATGGAATTATGAAACGTCTTGACCAAACACAGCTAGATCACAACATAGGCTACCATTGTTTATATTTACTCTGGAAAAATACTATCATGTAAACAATTGTTGTGGTGTTAAAAATGATCAGATGTTCCCAAATCATTATATTTACTGGATATGGTTGGAGTATTCTTATGCAATTGAAATAAATGTTAGTTTGGTTTGGTACATTTTGAAGCTATAGGTTATACCATTTAACTAACTATTTGTTTTTGTTCTTTACTTCTCTAGTTAACTGTTTCAACTAATTACCAGCTACTTTTCGCAGTTTTAACGGTTTACATTGTTAATTCACTACATTATCTAACTATGTCAACGATTTATCGATTACTGTAAGCTAACTATTCTTACTGTTTTCCAAACTATTTGCTTTGGCTAACTGTTTTAACTGTTACGTTTAGCTAACGGTTTCAACAGGTTGTTCATCACATCATCGTTAGCTACCTATTTAAACACATTTTCAGCTAACTTTTTTAAAGGTCATTTAATACTTGAGTTTACTATTTCAATTGTTTATCCTTTTCTTTGAAACAATTGACTCACCCGCTTATTCATTTAAGCTTACTATTTTTGCGGGTTTCCACTACTGCTAGCTGATTTAAGCTACAGTTTTAACTGCTTAATCATTACATTAGCTAACCATTTAAACTGTTATCAGCTAACTTTTAGCTAACTGTTTCAGGTTTTTATGTATCTGTTGATTTAAGCTAAGTGTTTCAACATTTTGTAATTACTTTTATCCTACTGTTTTAACTGTTTATCTGATTTAAGCTTACCATCTTAACTGATTATTTTATTACTTTAGTTTCAACTGCTTAAACATTACGTTATTAACAGTTATCTGTTAGTTTAGTTAACTGTTTTAGCATTTTTTTATCTGTTGATTTAAGCTAACTAATTATTTCATTACTTTAAGCAAGGCCTTGTGGAAGTTACTGAGCTGATGTAACTCAGTGGTTGGTCAGAAGCAGTAACAAAAACAATTCCTCTATGAACTTTTTATTATTTTATTAATTGTGTATGGGTCCTTCTTCTTTATTGACGACAGGGAATCAAGTAGTGTACTTCAAAAGAAAAATAGTCTCTCTCATAAATTCAACATGAAGCGATTGGCTCTCCTGCTTCCCTCAACCTTGACCTAAGGCACATGTGTCAAACTCAAGGCCCGGGGGCCAAATCAGGCCCTTGGTGGATTTAATTTCGGCCCGCAGGATAATTTCTAATTACTATTAGATCTGGCCCGTCGGTATATTGCACGCACACCTTCACTCAATCCTGAGGATCTCCTCCGCTCAGAGCCTGAGCCCAAACATTGATGAACTTGCACCCAAGATGAGATGCCAAGTATCTGGCTTGAACTAGCATCACAGAGCAGCAAACTGAGTTTCAATGGATGTTTCCTTCTGCACTTTTTTTCTTGAGACAACAGGGCATGTTTGGGTTTTTCTTTGAGGGAAATTGTTTTGTTGAAGCTGTTCTTGGCCTGTGGAAAAATGTAATCATAAGAAATGACTCCGGAAAAGCAGCAGATAGAGCCATAAGAAATGAATGCAACTGATTATTTAATGTTTAATGTTGTTTTTATAGGCAATAATTTAAGCTTTGTTAGTTCCAGGTTTAATATGTGCAATAAGTTCATTTCAATAAGTTTTGCAATAAACATTGAACCAGTCCGGCCCTCGACTAGTACCCATTTTTTTATTTTGGCCCACTGTGTATTTGAGTTTGACACCCCTGACCTAAGGTGTTTATCTTACCTGTACTTATCCAGGGACTTATAAACGTTCAATCTCTCTTGTGTCAATTATATAAATGTCAATCAGGTGACCATAAATACTGCCGAACACTGAATTAATTTAAATTAGTCTAAAACATTTTGGCCTGCAAAATCCATTAGTCAAAGTTAGGTTAAATCAGAAAGAATAAGACTTGCTTGTGGGCGTTTGTTTGTCTCATAATGTCAACTGTTTGTCCATTAGCCTAATTTTTGAACTATGTAAAAGGGCACATGAAAGCAGCCTAAAAGAAAACATCCCACCCAGAAGTGGATGTCATTCATCCATTAAAATGTAGGAATGATAGTCTTCTGCTGTTTAGGGTCAAAAGGTCATGTTGATGCTTTTCCATCACACAGAGATCCAGCTGGAAGTTCAGAAGGGCTTCAAATATTATGTTAAAAAGATTTTTGTTTCACCATGGGTAAGAAACACACTTTGGTCGCCTCAAGATCAGTGACTCATGTCCGTGAGCATGACTCACTTGTTGTGGCATCCGTGATGGCATTTCATTGTACAGACGTGGGCAGTTAATTTGGACGTCTTTCTACTGGGAAACACCCACCCACACACACACACACACTCTTAAAAAAAAGAGAGGGATGACAGCCTTCATTATGGTAATTCTTGGTGGAATTTGTCTGCAAATAAAGAGATTTATTTGTGTTTTTTTACTGTGATCAAAGCAGAGAGAAGCGGGAAGCAGTAGGAGAGGACTGCCGGGGACCCTGTTTTGGTGTTTTGTCTATAACTGAATTAAGGTAGTTAAGTTCAGTTTAAGTAGTCTGTAAGTATGAATCACTACTTTTTAGGACACAAATTAAAGTGACACTTTGACAATAATGACAAATCCTCTAGTGTGATTTGTATCAAGAATGTGGGACTTCCTCCTGCCTACATAACCACGAAGACAACCTCGTCAACTTAAGATACCCATAATTATACAATTATAATGTTATCGGGTTCAAACATTTGCATTCAAGGAGACGTCACCTGCTCCTACACAATCTTCAGCAGCGTCTCTTAAATAAAAATCAGTGTGACACCCACTTCCTCACAATGTGACCTGGGGGGGTCGTGTGTGTGTGTGTGTGTGTGTGTGTGTGTGTGTGTGTGTGTGTGTGTGTGTGTGTGTGTGTGTGTGTGTGTGTGTGTGTGTGTGTGTGTGTGTGTGTGTGTGTGTGTGTGTGTGTGTGTGTGTGTGTGTGTGTGTGTGTGTGTGTGTGTGCCTCCTGAAGCAACACTATGAAGTGAAAGCCGGCCGAAAATAGACGGCGTGATTCAGAGCTCGGACGCTTTTAGACCTGAAGTCGAGCCAAACTGTGGAAGCCTTGCGTAGGTCGCGCTCGCAATCAAATAAACAGGACGAATTATTGTTGGACCCCACACACACACACACACACACACACACACACACACACACACACACACACACACACACACACACACACACACACACACACACACACAATCTTGTTTATTTACAACACAACAGTAAACAGCAGAAGATCTGTATGTTGTTGTGTGTGTACTACAGACTAAATTGATGTCAAATCCGTCTTAACCTCTGTCTCCATAAAAAAAAAGTTGCTCAGATGTCATTAGAGGACAAATAGTTTGTGTCAAAAACACTGCAATAGAATAATTAATTATATTATATTCAACTTTCTCTGTGTGACATTTTTTGTGCTGAACATAACTACAAAATATGTATTAATTTCCAGAATGTTAACCCGTTATAACAGTGTCTTAAATAATAAATGGCCATTGTTACTGTAAAATAAAATATATATATGTAATATACTATAGAGGGGATTTTTTTAAATATTTTTTTTTAGTCTGGGATATGTCAATAATAAGCAACATTGATTATGATGCATTCTTATTTAAAATGTAGCATGAAACAACGAAAATAGCCTGTATTTGTCCGATTTTGAAGCAAGTGCTCCATCGAAAGCCTGATATAATAGAGAGCAGGACTTAATGACATAATGGCCATGGTCCAATGGGGACATTTTTGTCCTTTAGGCTCTGACTGTATATGACTTTAGATAAACATACTTTATTTTAGACTTTTTATAGGAACTGACGTTAACTTCCATCTTATTAAATCCTTTACTTGAAGCAGAGGAAGTGATGCAGCTTCTCGCCTGCCTGTGAAAGGGATCGTGGGAAATAAAGACTTGATGATTGATCGTTAACAGAAGCCCTGAGAGGCAAGTGAGGAACGGACCGTCCACACAGCAGCGTTAAAAAATCTTGAAACGCTTCTGCCCATTCACTTTGAATGGGGTGACGTCACTTTGCCTCACTTTTCGCCGAACTGCATTGTGGGCAGGCGAGCGGAGATTTTCAGGATTTTCAGGATTCAAAGTTGAGCAATGTTCAACTTTTGAAGCTGAGGTGGAAGCGTCAGCCAATCAAATCCCGTGTATGCAAATCTGACAGTTCAAGCGCTAGCCAATCAAACCGCGTGTAAGCTGGGAGAGACATACCGCAGGTCATTTCCTCATATTCCAAAACATGGAGGAGAAATTAGCGGTAGGGAATCACCCGGTGCTTTATGACCAGACCCTATTTACCTACCGGGATATAAACCGGAGGAGCCAGGCATGGAGGGAGGTGGCAGAGACAGTGGTATGTATTCGCCTGTTTGGGGAGTTTATATCCAGTTTACTTCAAACTTTTTTGCTTCGTATGTCGGGGGCGGGAGATTCATGTGATTGGTTGTTGGTGCCTTGCTCGCAAAAAATCCCCAAGCTTCAGATACGCCCACCTCCAAGATTTTTTTAACGCTGCTGTGTGGACGGGCCGGAAGGCCATTTTAATGATCCGTTTTCTAATTTGAATCGAAAAAAACATCCCGAGTGAAATCCTAATTACATATTTTTTTCAACCTGTACGTTTTTGATCCGTGAGTAAAGGACTGCACTGTACAATTTCACCTGACATATTTGCAATACTGTGTGTGCACAAATAAAATACACTTATTTTGAAGGTTGATTTTCTTCATTTTAGGATCACTTGTTTGTGTTTGTAATACTCATCCCCAGTGGCGTCGCCTGGCCTTGGCATTCAGGGCTTTAAAAATAGCACTTTACCCCTGCTTACACCTATATGCCGTTCATTGTAACAGTCGCGGGTACACTGTGTGTGTGCGTGTGGGGATTGTTGCGGTAGAACATTCCACTGTAGCGCCCGGTACCTTAATGGGAAACCCTACATGTTTGAGCACCCTCTTTGAAACGTCAAGCTACCCCACAGCACCCCCGAAAGAAAATCTCTGGCGCCGCCACTGTGGGCCAAGCCCCGAATGTTTCCAGGTCCAGGAAAAGCCCCTGCTCGTCCCTACCACATGTTTCCATATTTGGAATAAAGGCATTCATAAATTCTCCTTGGTGACTTTAAAACGTCTCCATGAACTAAGTAACAACACATTGTGCCAAGCAGTTTGTCCACTTATTACAAAATGAAGTGTTATTTCAGAATGTGTCTCTAAAGGCCCTGACACACCA